AAAATCAATGTATAGAAATCTGTTGCATTTATATACACCAATAATGAAGCAGCAGAAAGAGAAATTAAAAAATCAATCCCACCTACAACTGCACCAAAAACAGTAAGATACCTACAAATAAACCTAATCAAAGAAGTGATCTCTGAAAACTATAAAACGATTATGAAATAAATTGAAAATGACACGAACAAATGGAGACATTCCATGCTCATGGATTGGAAGAGCAAATATTGTAAAAATGTCTATACTACCCAAAGCAATCTACATATTCAATGCAATCTCTATACCAAAATGCCAACAGCATTTTTCCAGAACTAGAATAAATTATCCTAAAATTTATATGAAACCAGAAAAGACCCTGAATAGCCAAAAGAACCTTAAAAGAGTAAAGCAAAACTGAGGCATCACAATTTTAGACTGCAAGTTATATTACAAAGCTACAGTGATCAAAACAGTATGGTAATGGCACAAAAACAGACATGTAGGTTAATGGAACAGAACAGAAAATCCAGAAATAAACACACAATTATGTGGTCAATTAATCTTCGACAAAGCAGGAAACAATATCCGGTGGAAAAAAGATAGTCTCTTCAGCAAATGGTGTTTGAAAAACTGGACAGCAAATGAGAAAGAAAGAAACTGGGGGCATCTGGGTGGCTCAGTCGGTTAAGCATCTCACTCTTGATTTTGGCTCAGGTCATGATCTCACAGTCTCACAGTTCCTGAGACTGAGCCCCACATCAGTCTCTGCGCTGACAGAGCAGAGCCTACTGGGGCTTCTTCTTCTCCCTCTCTCTCTGCCCCTCCCCCACTTGTGTGCATGCTCTCTCTCAAATAAAGTTAAAAAATATTTTTTTAATAAAAACTAAGAAAGAAAGAAAGAAAGAAAGAAAGAAAGAAAGAAAGAAAGAAAGAAAGAAAGAAAGAAAGAGGAAGGAAGGAAGGAAGGAAGGAAGGAAGGAAGGAAGGAAGGAAGGAAGGAAAGAAAGAAAGAAAGAAAGAAAGAAAGAAAGAAAGAAAGAAAGAAAGAAAGAAAGAAAGAAAGAAAGAAACTGGACCACTTTCTTACACCATGTACAAAAATAAAGTCAAAACTGGTTAAGGGCCTAAGCCAGGTTTTTATGAAACCATAAAAATCCTAGAAGAGAACACAGGTAGTATCTTTTTTGACACTGGCCGTAGAAATTTTTTTCCTAGATAGGTCTCCTGAGGCACGAGGAACAAAAGCAAAAATAAACTACTGGGACTCCATCAAAATAAAAAGCTTCTGCACACTGAAGGAGACAATTAACAAAACTAAAAGGCAACCTATGGAATGAAGAAGATATTTACAAGTAATCTAATAAAGGGTTAATATCCAAATATATAAAGAACTTATAAAACTCAACACCCAAAAAACAAATAATACAATTAAAAAATGGGCAAGGCATGAACAGACATTTGGCCAAAGAAGACCTACAGATGGCCAACAGACACATGAAAAGATGTGCATCATAACTTACCATCAGAGAAATGCAAATCAGAACTACAATTAGGCATCATCTTATACCTGTCAGAATTCTGGCTAAAATAAAAAACATAAGAAACAACCAGTGTGGGTGAGGATGTGTAGAAAACAGAACCCTCTTCCACTCTTGGTGGAAATACAAACTGGTGCAGCCACTATGGAAAACAGCATGGAGGTTCTTCAAAAAATTAAAAACAGAAGTACCCTACAATCCAGCAATCACACACTGGGTATTTACCGCCAAAATACAAAAACACTAATTCAAAGGAATATGTGCATCCCTATGTTTACAGCAGCATTATTTACCAAAGCCAAATGATGGAAGCAGCCCAAGCGTCTGTCAATTGATGAATGGACAAAGAAGATGTGATATATACACACAATGGAAAATTAGCCATAAAAACAGAAATGAAATCTTGTCACCTGCAACAACATGGATGGAACTGGAATGTATAATGCTAAGTGCAATAAGTCAGTCCAAGAAAGACAAATACCATATAATTTCATTCATATAAGGAACAAAATAAATAAGAAAAAAGAGAAAAAAGAGAGAAAGAAACCAAGCAACTGACTTTTTAACTATAGAGAACAAACAGATGGTTACCAGAGTGGAGATGGGTGGGGAATGGGTGAAACAGGTGATGGGTATTAAAAGGTGCATTTGTTGTGATGAGCACCAGGTGATTTACAATAACTTTTTAAAAAAGTTTCAGGGGTGCCTGAGTGGCTCAGTCGGTTGCGCATCTGACTTTGGCTCAGGTCATGATCTCACCGCTTGTGGGTTCAAGCCCCGCATAGGGCTCTGTGCTGACAGCTCAGAGCCTGGAGCCTGCTTCAGATTCTGTGTCTCCCTTTCTCTCTGCCCCTCCCCTGCTCATGCTCTGTCCCTCTCTGTTTCTCAATTAATAGATAAATGTTAAAAAAAATTTTAAGTTTTATTTTGACAAAGGAAGAATAAATTATTAAGATGTCATTTGGATGTTTTGGCAATCTGCCTCCAATCTCCAAAACCCAGATTTTGTAGGCAAGATTATATATTAAAACAAACTAGAGGGGCGCCTGGGTGGCTTAGTCAGTTAAGCATCCGACTTTCGTTTAGGTCATGATCTCGCGGTTTGTGGGTTAGAGCCCCGCATCGGGCTCTGTGCTGACTGCCAGCTCAGAGGCTGGAGCCAATTTCAGAGTCTGTATCTCCCTCTCTCTCTGACCCTCCCCTGGTCACGCTGTCTCTCTCTCTCCTAGAAATAATTAAAAAATATTAAAAAAAAAACTAGAAAAATCATGGGAGAATCTTTTTTTTAATTATTCTCACAGTTTGACCTTTGTAAGTCACCAGAAAACCAAGAGAAACAAAAGAAAAAATTACTAAATCACACTGTAAAAAAAATCCAAATAAATAAATAAATGTTTATATTTTCACCTAGTAAAAACCACCATAATGGTAAAACAAAGTGGGGAGAAATGTTTGCAACAGATATCACAACAGGCTGATTTCATGATATTTAAAACAACAACAAAACAATTGCCAAAACTAATTTAAAAGACCAATAAAAATGAACAATGGTCACAAACGGACACAAAGAAAAGTACAATTCAAATACACTGAAACATGTTTAGTTTCATTCTAAAGAGAAATACAAAACTGAAACTACAGAGTATAACTAGTAAAAATTGATTCAGTTAAGAATCACCAATTACATTAAAATGAGTGGGAAAGACTGTTAGAGAACAGGAATTAACACACTGCCCAAGTATCACCCCAAAGATTAGAAGAAAAAATACCTTTTACAGTAAAGAAGCCTTAACTAAATGTTCAACCATGTTATCACCAATGGGGGGCAAACTGATACAATGTACTCCGATTTGATGCACTAAGAAGGTTACATCAATTACGTAGTATTGTTACCAAAAATTATAAGATAAATACAATTACGTGTAACCAATGAGACAAATTAAAACTGAGGGAGAGTCTACAAAATACTTTGCCTGGAGTCTTCAAAAATGTTAATGGCATGAAAAATTTTTTTTAAAAAGGCCAAGAAAGAGTTCTAGAATAATGACAAATGACAACCAAATGTAATGCATGATCTGTGACTGGATCCTGAATTTTAAAACAAAATAAAAACTAATTAAGAAAAAAAAGGATGTCTGGGTGGCTCAATCAGTTGAGCATCCAACTCATTTTGGCTCAGGTCATGATCTCAGGGTCATGGGACTGAGCACTGCATCAGCGCAGAGCCTGCTTCTTCCTCTCTCCCCCTGCTCCTCCCACACGTGTGCACATGCATGCTCTCTGTCTCAAAAATCAAAAATAATTTAAAAACAAAACAAAAACTGTATCAGGCACTAGTGCCTATTTAAGGAAATCTGAATATGGACTGCATATTAGATAAATACCATATCGATGTTAAATTTCCTGAACATAGTAATTTTATTGTGCTTATGTATGAGATGGCCTTTGTTCTTATGGTACCCTGGTAAAACTTATATTTAAAAGATAATAAAACTGCTCTATCAAAGAAATACCCTTAAGTTAGATCTAAGTGTCAAATAAACAACGACGACCTACTTCATACATTTACTACTTGGTAATAAAGGGGGAAATTTACTTTCTGTATTAAAATCAGGGGCACGTGGGTGGCTTAGTTGGTTAAGTGGCTGACTTCAGCTCAGGTCACGATCTCACAGTTCATGGGTTCGAGTCCGGCATCAGGCTCCATGCTAACACCTCAGAGCTTGGAAACTGGAGACTGTTTAGGATTCTGTGTCTCCTCTCTCTATCTGCTTCTCCCCCACTTGCACTCTGTCTCTCTCTCTCTCTCAGTAAATAAACATTTAAAAAAATATTTTAAAAATATTTTTAAAAACTCAACATTACAGAACTATCTTGAAATTAAAAAAAAAATCTTGCTCTTGTCTACCAAGTCCAGGTGAAAAGAACCTTCTTTCTAGAAAAGTAACATGAAAAAAATCAAGAAAAACAAGAAAAATAGAAAGGAGTTGCCAAGGGTAAAATATATTTATCATGATAGTACATTAGTGATGTCATTAACAATGAATAATGCTAATAATCAAAAATTCCACTCTAAAAATCTAATTAGCAATTTTTACATTTGTTTTTAAGACCAAAGGTATATATATCTTAGCACTAAATTAGTGAAGATAAAAATTGTAAATTTTTGTAAAATATAATTAAATTCTGGACAAGAAAACAAAAGGTGTTATGTTCTTAAGACACTGATAGGAAAAACTTCCCAAAGTACGTTGAAAACAAGTTTTTAAGACTAAGAAAGTTGCCTACTTTTAACAATACTATATAAACTTCCAATTAGTTGCCCCCAAAGACACCAGAGAAGTTATAAAATGTGCCTTAACCAAAAAATACAAGAAGGCAAATGTGATAAACTGATTCCTAAAAAAGATTTTATGAAGCAGCTTGACGGTGAGATGTCATACATTTGTAAAAACTGAAATAATGTTGCTGGATAATTACCTCTTCTGTATCTTTTAGTGTACACACATGATATGGCATAGATATTAATGTCTGTTCCTTTCTATCTGCGATATAAAGCCACCACCATTCTTGTTTCTCCTGCAAAGAGAAAAAAAAAGGAAAAGAGTATGTTAGCAGAAAGAACTAGAGAAATAACTGTCTGCCTTGTCTCATTCTAGAGGTACTGTTCTGGTTTTGTTCACTGCAGCACCTCCAGCACAAACACAGTGCCTGGTATAAAATAGATATTCAATAAATGTTTACTGAATGAATAAATTGTTCTTAACCACTTGTGGATCTGCTGTCCAAAAAAATTCTGCATGTAATCTGGGGGTTTCAAACGGCCCCTTAAAAAACCATAGTGATGGGCCTCTGTAGTAAAAACCCCTGAGGGTTGCCTGGGTGGCTCGGTGGTTGAGCATCTGACTTCGGCTCAGGTCATGATATCACGGCTCATGAGTTTGAGCCCTGCGTCAGGCTCTGTGCTGACAGCTCACAGCCTGGAACCTGCTTCAGATTCTATGTCTCCCTCTCTCTCTGCCCTTCACCTGCTCACACACTATTTCTCAAAATAAACATTAAAAAAAACGCCAAAACCCCTGATTAACCTTAAATGACAAAAAATATAAAAAACAATAAAACATTACAAACTGTTACAGTATAATCCAGCAAATAATCTTAGTCATCTTACCAAGTAATAAACAAAAGCCAGAAAGTAAGAGTAGAAGGGACTTGGTCAACCAAATCAGAAATCATTAAAATATACGACTCTTTAAGAGATCATCTCAGGGGCACCTGGGTGGTTAGGTGGGTTAAGCATCTGACTCTTGATCTCACCTCAGGTGAGCTTGAGTTCTTGAGTTCGAGTCCTGCATTAAGCTCTGTGCTGATGGTGCAGAGCCTGCTTAGGATTCTTTCTCTCCCTCTCTGCCCCTCTCTTGCTTGTGCTTTCTCTCTCTCTAAATAAATTAACTAATTAAAAAAAAGATCATCTCAGATTTAAGAGCCTATCTATACCTTTCACTGCATATGATTTTAATAAGCACAGCATTTTTAGTTGTACCTCATAAAAGATTAGGAACAGAAAAAGAGCCCAGAAAAGAAACTGACACCAAAATGTACAATGACAGCAGAAGAACTGACGGGAGACAGAAAAATATTTTAAACAAACAATTAGAAGACCCCGCAGTCTGGAGGCACCAAACTTCAGTGTACTCAGTGAGCACTGCTGTACAGGACACATCAGTAACTGTTTAGTCATGTCTTAGTACCCTCTGCTTAAGAATTGGTCAGGGAAGAGATCTTCTTTAAACAGCTCAAAGAAAAATGTTTTGGAGCTAAAAAATAAACTCTAGGATATTCAAAATACTCACTTAGCCAAAACAACACTATACTGTTCTAAATTCTCAATTATCCAAAAGAAAGTTAAAAAAAAACTTTTTACTGAGAACAGTATCATAGGGAAAATGTCTTTTTAAGCCAAAATCACTTGTACTTTCTATTTTATTGTAACCACAAGAGACTGAAATGTGATTTTCTAATAATGTTACACTAAGGTTGACTAAAAATTCTTGTAAACTACAAAGCACATTAATAAGCAAAATAAATCACAAGTATATAATTAATCCAACTTCTGCTTAACCCAAAGTGGACGACAACAGGTATATGTATATACATATATGTATGTTTGTCTGTGTGTGTAGCACACACAAAGTGCGTAAAAACAGTATAATGGACTCAAAATGCAGTATCAATTTCTGCAACTTGTGGGCCAGAGTCTCAGTCACAATTGCTTGATTCTGCCACTGTAACATGAAAAGAATACATGTGACTGTGTTCAAAAAAAACTTCATTCATAAAACAGGCAGGGAGGCAGACTTGTCTGCAGGCTGTAGTTTTTGTCAATGCCTGATTTAAAGCCACACAGACCAGATTTTTTCATTTCTCTAAAACCTTGCTTTTCTTCTATTAAATGAGGAGCATCTACCTCAGGCTGTGTTGTGAAGATGAACTGATATAATACAAGTAAAATATATATTAGAATGTCTAGCACACTGAGTATGACAAATGATAATCATGATTATTAATGAAATGATCTCATTACTAGAACACATATGTAATATAAGCAGCACAGGGATATGTTTAAAAATGTGCGTATCTTCTTTACCTCTCCACTAAGAGAATGCCTTTCCCTCCCCTCTCTCAGGCTAATTGATTAAAATGTGATTCATTCAAAAATACTTATTAAGAAGCTAGTGAATATGAATCCATGGCACCGTACCTGTGCCCAGACTCTCTGATGCACATGGTGAAAGTGGAAAAGATGTTCTAACACAACTTATTTACATTTTCAACACAATAGCTTGTCTACTGTGTGAGATTCCCCACCATTCTTAACATATTAAGCATAATGAATGAGTTTCAGTTACATGTAAGTCAATTACAAACATACAATTTTAAGCAATTTAAATGGGTAGTGTGGTAGTTAGGGTAGTTCTGCAGGTACATGGGAAGGTAGGTGGGTAGATGTTAGCAAAATCCTAAATAAATTTTGTCTGATAAATGGTACTTTTTGAGATGCTTACTGTGCAGTTGTAGAAAATCAGAAAAAGGTATTTTCAAAGCTAAAATGTTCTAAGGGAGTGAATGGATGTTTTGCTTATTAACTAAGCATGATCTAAAATGAACTGTCTATTACAGGGGTACAAATTATGAAGCTTATAACATCCCATGGCACTTTTAAAACCAATCAATGAGTGAAATTTACTCGCTTGATTTAGGGAGTCTTGGAGTTGGCAGACTATGACTGCAATGGGCAAAACGCCCCTAACAGATGGGCTAGTGCTCAGGACACGCCAGGAGATCAGCAAGCACATTAACATGGAGTCCTGGGCTGACTTCTTTCCAAGTCAAGACCACAGTCTGTGCAGAGCCACTCATTTATTATTAGGAAAGCCAAATTACTTGGGAATTTGCCTTCAGCAGCCCCCAACAACTCTGGATTGACATTATGAAGCAGAAAGCAGATTTATACATGAAATCACCTGCCAAACATGAGCGCCGAGCAGAAGATTCTGTGGCCAAGCTGTGAGGCAGTTGGTGGAACAGCTTCCTTGAACTAAGAGGCAACCAGTTCCCGACCTCTGGCCAGAGACAGAATCATCTCAAAAGCAAAGCATCGTGCAAATTCCAAATTCATTTGAAAGACAAACAACTTAAGGAGACCAAAAGATGAGCAAGCCCCAACCACAAAGTAAACAAAGACAGGAGAACAAACAGCACTGCAACAGTATGTCCTAAGCTTGGTGCTCTGCCATTCTGAACTCTTACTGAACTCAGCTGGTCCCACAGCCATGGGCTTGCCTATTGCCAGGGACTGGGGCAATTACTAGAGCCAGAGCAAGTGTAATGACTCTAGGTGGCCAGTATAGGGCCATCAGAGAAAACCCATGGGAAACACTTAAGAACTTTTTTCATCTTATTTAAAACTTGATGGGGCGCCTGGGTGGCTCAGTTGGTCAAGCGGCCAACTTCGACTCAGGTCATGATCTCGCAGTTCGTGAGTTCAAGCTCAGCATCGGGCTCTGTGCTGATAGCACAGAGCCTGGACATTGCTTCCGATTCTGGTGTCTCCTCTCTCTGCATCTCCCCTGCTCATACTCTGTCTCTCTGTCTCTCAAAAATAAATAAACGTTAAAAAAAATCTTTAAAAAAGTAAAAAATAAAAAAATAAAATTTGATAGAAGTGAGGGATTCACAAAAGCTGTGCAATCATAGGCAAAATATGCATTCGTCTGACAGACTGCCTGAACTACTAAGGAGAAATCAGCAGTCGGCACAACCTTCAGTAATCCAGGCACAGAAAAGACAGAAGCATAGGAAACCATATAAATACGTAAAAAGTTAACACTTCTCCCATTATATAACACCTTCACTAAATCTAATTCATACTGAAACGGATTCTTCAAACTGTCACCTATTAAGAACAGACCATATCAGCACATTTGGGCCAGTACACACCAGGGAGGGATAAAAGGTAACTGAAAAATACCTAAAGAGAAAGTAGATGGAATAAGGAAAACACTGAGCCATGAATAACTCACCTCAGGAAAGTAAAGACTATAAACAGGGTGTGTTATCTTTGATTTGGTTTCCAGTAGAGCTCTCTCTTTTCGCTGTATACTTTGTTGTAATTCTTGCCACTCCTAGGTAAAGTAAAAATCAAACATTTTGAAATCAAATATGTTTCAATCATTTTAAAGTTTTCCATCTTCTTCCAGCTATTATTCCTGACAATGCTAACTACTACTGAGTTCAGTCCCACAGACCTGCTCATTTCCCTGCTCTAAACTTACAATACATCATTTCATAAATCAAATCTAAGCCCTTTAGCATGAACTACATGGGTCATGATGTGATCTGGGCCAATCTCTCCAGTCTCCTATCAATGCCTTCCTCTTTGCACTTTCTATTCTGGTCATTTCGAACTATCTTGACTTCTCTGAATTCACCAAGCTATTTCACTCCTCCTAAACCCTGTTTGGATTTTGTTTTCTCCCTCTTTCTTTAGCCTGGCAAATTCCTACTATTATTCCTTCAGGAACTGCTAAAGCCTAAACCATGAGCTCCCAAATACTAGCAACTTCCCTCAACTTTAGTTGATCACTCCCTCCTCTGTGTTATCACTGTACCTGGCAAAAATGTGCATAATCTCTTTTGTACTTCAATGTTTACTTACAAGTCTGCCTTCCTCACTAGCTTGTCATTCAAGGGCAGAAACTGTTTTACATTTGGCTTTCATTTCTGTCATCTAACACAGTGCTTGCAATGTGGCAGATAATGAATAATTGTTTGTATAATTATTTGACAACTGAAAGAAAGTATTTTTGGTATCTTAAGAAACTAGTCTGTCAACTCTACTAACCCTAATACGGTACTCAGAACAGAATATGTCAACTCTTTCTCAGGCATGACCGGGGAAATAATTTTTTTGATAGGCTTTAACTTCCTGGCAATCAATTTAATTCCAAAGTACAAAAACAGTCAAGGGCCAACAACTGCTAAAAAGTCATCCTTATTTTTCCCACCACTCCCAAGGGCAGGTACATTACAGGCATACCTCACTTAACTGAACTTTGCACATGTGTGCTTTACAAATACTGTGATTTTTACAAACTGAAGGTTTGTGGCAACCCTGTGTCAAGCAAGTCTATTGTCGCCACTTCTCCAATAGCATTTGCTTATTTAGTGTCTCTGTCACATTCTGGTAATTCTTGCAATGTTTTAAACTTTTTTCTGATTATATTTGTTATGGTGATCTGTGATCACTGATCTTTGATATTACTACAGTAATTGTTTTCGGGCACCACGAACCATGCCCACATAAGATGGTAAACTTAATCAATGTTGTGTGTATTCTAACAGCTCCACCAATGAGCTGTTCCTCCATCTCTTCCCCTCTCCTTAGCCTATTCCCAGAGACACAACAATACTGAAATTAGGCCAATTAATAACCCTATAGTGACTTCTATGCGGTCATGTGAAAGGAAGAGCCACATGTCTCTCACTCTAAATCAAAAGCTAGAAATGATTAAGCTTAGTGAAGAAAGAAGCTGAAAGCCGAGATCTGCTGAAAGCTAGGACTCTTGTGCCAAATAGCCAAGGTGTGAATGCACAGGAAAAATTCTTGAAGGAAATTAAAAGTGCTACTCCAGTGAAAACACAAATGACAAGAAAATGAAACAGCCTTATTGCTGATATGGAGAAAGTTTTAGCAGTCTGGACAGAAGATCAAACCTGCCACAATATTTCTTTAAGCCAAACCTTAATCCAGAGCAAGGACTTGCCTCTTCAATTCTATAAAGGCTGAGAGAAGTGAGGAAGGTGCAGAAGTAAAATTCAAAGCTAGGAGAGTTTGCTTCACGAGGTTTAAGGAAAGAAGACATCTCCCTAACATCAAAGTAATAGGGGAAGCAGCAAGTGCTTGTAGAGAAGCTGCAGCAAGCTATCCACAAGATCTAGCTGGGATAATTAATGAAGATGGCTACACTAAATAGCGGATTTTTCACACTAATGAAACAGCCTTACACTGGAAGAAGATGCCATCTAAGACTTTCAGACCTAGAGAGAAGTCCATGCCTGGCTTAAAAAGACAGGTTGACTCTTCCGTTAGGAGCTCATGCAACTGGTGACATTCAGTTGAAGCCAATACTCATTTACCATTCTGAAAATCCTAGGGCCCTTAAGAATTATGCTAAATCTACCCTGCCTGTGCTCTCTAAATGGAACAACAAGCCTGAATGATAGCACATGGTTTGCTGAATATTTTAAGCACACTGCTGAGATCAACTACTCAAAAAAAAAAAAAAAATCCTTTCAAAATATTACTGCTCAATGACAATGCAACTGGTCACCCAAGAGCTCTGATGGAGACATACAGTAAAATTAATGTTGTTTTCATGCCTGCTAACACAACATCCATTCTGTAGCCCATGGATCAAGGAGTAATTTTCACTTTCAAGTCTTATTATTTTAGAAATACATTTTTTAAGGCGATAGCTGCCACAGATAGTGAGTGATGCCTCTGGTGGATCTGGGCAAAGTACATTGAAAATCTTCTGATTCACCCTTTTACAAGCCAGTAAGTACATTTATGATTCATAGGAAGAGTCAAAATGTTAACATTCACAGGAGTTTGAAAGAAGCTGATTCCAATCCTGATGGATAACTTTGAGGGGTTCAAGACTTCAGTGAAGGAAGTACTACAGATGGGATGGAGATAGCAAGATAATTAGAAGTGGAGCCCAAAAATGGAACTGAATTGCTGCACTCTCATGAGAGAACTTGAGCAGATGAGGAGTTCCTTCTTAGGGAGGAGCAAAGAAAGTAGTATCCAGAGATGGAATCTACTCCCAGAGAAGATGCTGTGAAGATTGTTGAAATAACAACAAAGAACTTAAAAGATGATATGAACTTAGTTAACAAAGCAGCAACAGGGTTTGAGAGGTTTGACACCAATTTTGAAAGAAGTTCTATTGTGGGTAAAATGCTATAAACAGCAATGCATGTTTATAGAGAAATGAGAAATCATTTGTGAAAGAATAGTCAGTCAATGCAGCAAACTTTACTGTTGTCTTATTTAAAAATCTGCCCCAGCTACTGCAACCTTCAGCAACCACCACTCTGAATAGTCAGTAGCTGTCAACACCTAATCAAGAGCTTCCACCAGCAAAAAGATGACACCTTGCTGAAGGCTGACATGATGGTTAGGATTTTTAAGCAATAAAGAATGTTTTCATTAAGGCATGTATATTGTTTGAGAGAATACTATTGCATATTCTATAAACTACACTACAATATAGTGTTAAACATGACTTTCATATCCACTAGGAAACAGAAAAATCCACTTGATTCGCTATATTATGATGTTAGTTTTATTGTGGTGGTCTGGAAATAAGCCTGTAGTATCTCCAAGGTATGCCTGCAATTCCTCATACTTTTATCCTTTACCTTTTCCTCTTATTCCTCTCTATTTGAGCCTCACAGACTATTTGGAAAATCTTTTTCTCTCCTAAACTACAAGGGTAACTTTCAGGTCAATGGCCCAGTCAGAAAGAAGAGAACACAAACATAAAGGAATGGCTGATTAGTTTATGGTTCATTTGCAGTAAGCCTCTAAGGACCCATTATTTGTCCAACAAACTCTCTTTTCTATAGCCCATCCATAAATCAGGTGCAAACCAATGCCATACCATGAGATTTGTTTCTATTTTCTACCCTTGCAATCTTAATTAAGTTCCTTAGAGACCCCTCTTTTCCTTAAGGTCTTCTTGAAACAAGGTGGAATTTTGTAAATGTTAATTTTTCCCTTAACCAACCTCTAGACATTAGAGTTCACAGTAATGTTTCCTTACTCTAAAAATTACCTGAAACTCTGGAAAGACTCGGTTCTAAGTAACTGCTTAGACCATAACCCACCTTTCCTAATACATTTGCAGACTCAACTCTAACAATGAAAACACTGTAAGACACCAAAATGACTTTGCTTCAGATACATATCCTATACTACCTAGCAACTTAAGATTTCAGAAAATTAAGAAGTCTGAGGTGCCTGGGTAGCTTAGTCAGTTAAGTGGTGGACTCTTAACTCAGGTCATAATCTCATGGCTCATGGGATGGAGCACCACGTTGAGCTCTATGCTGACAGTGCAGAACCTGCTTCAGATTCTCTCTCTGCCCCTCCCCTGCTCACATGTGCTCTCTCTAAATAAACAGACTAATTAACTAATTAAAAAAAAGAAAATTAAGCAGCACAATCCCTTTTAGAAACTATTATTCTTTGTAATTCTGACCCCCATCCCACAAAAATATTCTTACAAAATAAGATTATAAAGTATACTGATATTATTTAAGACAATCAAACAAAACAAGCAAGTTAAAAAACAACAAAACCCAAAACTATCAGAGGTATATAACTCCAAATTATTTAAACCTATAAGTCTTACTGCTTCGTCATCTTTGTTTTGTTTTTCATCTTGCTCTCTATCAGAGTCTCTATCACTACCATCATCTTTTTCACTTTGGGATTCTCTATTCGTTTCTTCTTCTTCAGAATCACTGCCTTTGTCAGACACTTCTTCTTCATCTTCCTTTACTGCAGCTTCCTAAAAGGAAAAAGCAACCACAAAAGTTTTGAATACCTCAGTAAATACATCATTCTGAGTCCCTGAATGAACTTATTGTCATTATAATTAAATTGGCTTGAGATTATAATTTCACTATTCATACAGAATTTTAGAGAATTATAAACTCACTTAAAAATATGTGGTAGTCAGACTAAAGACTTTAACAGTTGGTTTATTTGTCTGTTATTTTATTTTCATGTTTGTAAAATAAAAAATACTTTATTTGCAAAGTATACTACCACAACGGCAAAGATGGCTCATCTTTCAAAACACCAATCGTACAATATATTTTATTTAGGATGAGGAAATGGGAAGTTTACAGAAAAGTACTGCTTTGAGAGTTTAATATTATCTTCTATAGCTGTTAGAGTATAATGTAGTAAGGAAAGCCAATATCCCAGACAAGATACTTACTAATCCATTTCAAGAAGAAAGAGAACAGCAAATTAAATGCAAAAAAAAGTCAAAGTAAATAATACAGACTAGAAATCAATTAAAGAGAAGGCAGATACACAAAAGAAAAACCTAAATAAAGCCAAAAGTTGGTTCTTTGAGGGACACCTGGGTGGCTCAGTAAGTTCGGTGTCTGACTTCGGCTCAGGTCTTGATCTCAGAGTTCATGAGTTAGAGCTCAGCATCAAGTTCTCTGCTATCAGTACAGAGCCTGCTTAGGATCCTGTCTCCCCCTCTCTGCCCCTTCCCCACCTGTGCATGCACGCTCTCTCTCTCTCAAGAATAAAATAAACATTTTTAAAAAATTGGTTCTTTGAAAAGATTAATAAAATTGAAGACTTCCATTAGGCAAGACTAATCAAAGCAAAAAAAGAATACAAATTACCAATATTAGGAATAAAAGAAACATAACTAAGGATCCAAAGGACATTACATATAAAGGATATTATGAATAACTTTGTCAATATTTGGTAACTTACAAGAAATGGACAAGTTCCTTGAAAAACATAATACACTAAAATTGACATAAGGAAAAAACAATTTGCTAAAGAAAAGGATTCTATAACTATAAACCCTTTTTAAAACCCCAAGCCCAGATGGCTTTTCTAGATACTTCTTCCAAACAACAAATCCAATCTTACACAAACTCTTCCAGGAAAAAAAATAGAATACTTCTTAACTTGTTTAATGAGGCCAGCATAAACCTGACACAAAACCCGGCAAGGATATTACAAGAAAGGAGAAAGGCAAACCATTATTCTCTCATAAAAATAAATGCAGAAATCCTAAATAAAACATTATCAAGTCCAAATAAATATGAAAAAGGATACTATGTTATGACCAAATGAGTTTGTTCCAGGAATGCAAGGATAGCTTAAAATTTTTAAAGGCATCAACATAACTCACTACATTACAAGAAGGAGAAAAATCACAGTCACCTCAACAAACAGAGAAACGACACTTAATAATTATTAATTCAGTATTGCTCATGATAAAAATTCTCAGCCAAGTGGGAACAGAAGGGAACACTTCCTTAACCTGATAAAGAATATCTATAAAAACACTACAGCTAACATGATACTTAATAGTTTGTTTCCCTTCTCCTGGAGATAAGATGATAAGGATGACCACTGTCCCCATCCTTAATCAGCATCACACTGAAAGTTCTAGCTAGAACAGTTAAGACAAAAAGGAAGAAAAGGCGTAAAGATTAAAAAGAAAAAAGTAGAACTATCATTACTCCCAGATGCCATGATTGTGTACATAGAAAATATTCTAAAAAGTACCTACAAAAGGTTAGAATTACAGGCATACCTTGGAGATACTGCAGGTTCGGTTCCAGACAGTAAAGCAATTATCGCAATGAAGTCAAATGACTTTTTTTGTTCCCCATTACATATAAAAGTTATGTTTACACTATACTGTAGTATGTTAAGTGTGCAAACAGCATTATGTCTTAAAAAATGTGCATGCCTTAATTAAAAAATAGTTTACTGCTAAAAAATGCTTTCATATGAGCTGTCAGAGAGTTGTAATCGCTGATCACAGATCATCATAGTGAATATAATAATAATACAGTTTAAAATAGTGAGGGAATTACCAAAATATGACAGAAACACAAAGTGAGCAAATGCTGCTGGAAAAATGGTGCTGATAGATTTGCTCAACACAGGGTTGCCACAAACCTTCAATTTGTAAAAAATGCAGTATCTGCTAAGTGCAATAAACCAAAGTGCAATAAAACAAGGTATGCCCATATTGTGAAGGTATGTTCCTTAATACAAGGTCAATATTTAGAAGGCAACTGTATCTCTATTCACCAGCAATAAACACCAAAGAATGGATTTTTTTAAATGTTATATGCAACAATACCAGAAAGTATCAAATGCATAAGGGTAAGTAAATCTGATGAAAGATGTGCCATACCTCTGCCACTGGAAATTATAAAACACTGCTGAGAAAAAATTAAGGAAGATCCAAATTAATAAAGATAAACCATGATTATGAATAAAGAGACTCAATACTGTTGATGTGAATTCTTCCTACACTGAAGTACAGATTCAATGCAATCCTCATCTAAACTTCAGCAGCTTTTTTTTTGGTGGTAACTGTCAAGCTTATTTTAAAAATGTTGAGGGAAATACAAAGAATCTAAAATAGGCAAGACAATCGTAAAGAAGAATTTGAGGACTTACACTGACATTTCAAAACTTAATATAATTAAGACCATGTGGCTTGGCACAGGAACAGACAAATAATCAATGGAATGGACTAGCGAGTCCATAAACAGATCTGCACATAAATAGTTAGGATCACTTGTTTTATGAAAAACCATCACTGCAATTCTAAGAAAAGGACGACCTGGTCAAAAAGTGATGCTAGAATAAGTGGTACATAATCCCTATCTCACACTATTCACCATAATTAATTCAAGATGCATCAAAAGCTAAATATAGTAAGTATAATAATGTTTCTAGGAGAAAACAGAAAAATATCTCCATGTTCTTGTGACAGGCAGAAGTGTCTTCAACAGGAAATAAAAACACTAACCATAAAACTGATAAAACAGACTTCCTTAAAATTAAGTACCATCAAAAGCTACCATTAAGAGAGTAAAAAAGGACTCACATCCAGAATATAGAAAGGGAACTCTACAAATCCATAAGACAACCCAACAGAAAAAGAGGATATCCAAATGGCCAGTAAATATATGAAAAGATGCTCATTATCATTAGTTATCAGGTAAATATTAAGAACCACACAGAGATACGGTTACAAATCTACCATAGTGGTTAAAATGAAAAAGAATGGTAGAACTATATATTAATGAGGATGTAGAACCACTGGACTTGTGTTTTCCTAGTATGAACATAGAATAGTACAACTTTGGAAAATAGGCTCTTTTCAACAAGCTCAACATACACCTATTTATGACCCAGCAATTCCACTGCTGGATTCTACATGCCCAAGAAAAATGAACATCCACAAAATGACATGTGCATGAATACATACAGCACTTTTACTCCTATCAGGCAAAAACTAGACACAACCAAAATGTCCATCAACCAGAGAACAGATAGATAAATTGTATATTTATAAAATGGAGTGTCACATACACACAAAGAATGGACAGCTGCTACCCACAATACAGATGAATGTCATGGACATAATGCTGAATGAAAGCAAACATTTCCAGTTATATGAAGCTTAAGAACAAGCAAAACTGGGGCACCTGCATGGTTCAGTTGGTTAAGTGCCTGACTTCAGCTCAAGTCATAATCTCACAGTTTGTGTGTTCAAGCCCCATGTCAGATTCTCTGCTGTCAGCTTCGGATCATCTGTCCCCCCCCCACCTTTCTGGCCCTCCCCAACTTGTGCTCGCATTCACATGCATACACATGCACTCCCCCTCTCTCAAGAATAAAATAAAAAAAAACAAAAGTAAAAAAGAATAGGCAAAACTCATCTATGGTAACAAGAGCCAGAACAGGAAGGGATGGAGGTAGATGGAGGGGTCACTGAGAAGGGACACAAGTGAGCTTTCTAGGGTGCTAAAGTTTTACATCTTAATCTGGGTATCACGGGTGCATACATATGCAAAATTTCATGACCTATACACATAGGATTTGAACATTTCAGTATATGTTACATGAAAATAAAGATAATGATAATAACAGTATGAACTTACACTCCCAACAACTCCATTTGCCTGCTTTTGTTTCTGTTGCTTTGACTGTGGTAAGGGCACAGCTGTAGGTTTTTTTTTTAAAGGTTTCTTTTTTTTTGATTTAGCAGCTTTCTTAGGTCCTTTACTCTTCTGTTGCCATCCTCCTTTTGTCCTATTCTTGTTGGTATCACCCTGCTGTAAATCACAGCACACATACACACTCAGAAGTTACAGCAATAGTTTCATTTGGGAGTCATAGTCATTTTTAGATGAAAATGGCTAAACTAAATCTTTTCATGAACTGAATTACTCTCCCACAGCAATATAAATCAATCAGAACTAAACCAAGGAAAGACAGGTAAGAAACACCAAGCGTTTACCCCGTCTTCTGCTGGCTGTTCCTCGGCAGCACAGATGGACTGCTCCTTTTCAAACACTTCCTAGAGACGGAGAGAGGAAGAATATGAAGTCTATCAACTTATATTTATCTTTCAGGTAAACAAAGCAATCTCTCAAAATAGATGACCAATAGGTTTTTTACCTGGTGACAATTGGTGGGTAGGGGGAGAACAGATTTTTAGCAATCAGTACAAATTTAGCAATTTGCTAAATGACACTTTGGAAGTTACCTTCTGAAATATCTCACATCTGTCTGAAATACATTTTGGTTTTTTTTGTTTGTTTGTTTGTTTTGTGTTAAATACATTTTGAAAAGTACAATCTACTTAAATTTACAAATGCAATGCCTTAAGAAATGTAAACTCATTATAAAGTCTAAAATATTCCATAGTTTAAAATAACTAAAGATGGGTGCCTGGCTGGCTGGGTCAGTAGAGAGTATAACTCTTGATCTCAAGGTCGTGAGTTCAAGTGCCACACTGGGGATAGAGTCTACTTTAAAACAAACAAACAAACAAACAAACAAACACTGTTTAAAAACTTTAAATAATTAAATTAAATGACTAAGGAGTGGATCACCAAGAAAATCTATATAACCTAAAGACATATCCACTATATAATCCACTTAGGATCAGTACAAAACCCATACATTTAGGATTTAAATTCCAACAAGATTTCAGTGAGAATCTATACTAGAAGATAATAGGTGATATTCGTTGTACTTATAAACTCTCTGGAATTACTACGGCCAACAAATAAAAACAATGATAACTTGGGCTCTAAACTATTAGCCTAATTCAGGGGTCCATCCACAAACCATGGCCCATTTCCTTGTTTTTAAATAAAGTTTTATTACAACTCAACCATGTCCATGTGTGATTCAGTAGTTACTACAGAAACTATGTGGCCTATAAAACCTCAAACATTTACTAACTAGACCTTTATAGAAAAAGTGTGCCAGTCCCTTGTCTAATTATATCATCTCTGTTTCATCATATATATATATATTTTTTTCATTTCTTAGCTGGATTCTAACACTTAAATTACTCTCAGGTACTGTCATACAAGAACTGGAAGATAAGTACTTCACTCTTTCCCTTCTTCCAGGGCAAGTATGCTTTTTCTTCTACCAATTATCCCAGAAGTGTCAACGGCCCAAGGCCAACTTTTGCTCATTTTTCAGGCTGGGAATTCCAAAATATGTGGGTGGTTTAAATTTGGATTCTAACCCAATCCTAGCCACTGGCTTAGAGTTTCCTCTTCTCCCAGAGGGCACCTCTCATCCAGAGTCCATGACACAAATGCTTCTTTACCACTTGCTACCATAAAATCAACATCTTCAATTTGATATATCCTACTACAAAATATGCTTTTCCTACCAAAGGTTTTTGGGCTTTGTTTTTTAAATTTTTCTTAATGTTTACTTTTGAGAGAGAAAGAGACAGTGCAAACGGGGCAGAAACAGAAAGAGAGGGAGTCACAGAATCCGAAGCAGTCTCCAGACTCTGAGCCGTAAGAGCCCAACGCAGGGCTTGAACCCATGAACCATGAGATCATGACCTGAGCCGAAGTTGGACGCTTCACTGACTGAGCCACCCAGGCTCCCAAAGAGAGGTTTTACACATGGTATTTAAATGCAGAGCAGGTTTCCTACAGATGTTCACAGAACCCAGAACAGAAGAGGCTAAGATCTACCATTAGTTGAATAAGTGGAGTTGAAATAGTATAATTAAAAACGAGTTCTAACTTGGGAGGTAATGCAAATTTGTAAGAGAAACTGAGAAAAACAAGATACAGGAAACATATACATTATGACTGGATTTAATGAAAGGGAATGAGAAAAGTACCAGTGTGTATCTACACATACACTGTAAAGGCCCAAGGAGTAAATACAAGCATGAAGAAGACGTGAAAAGATACACATAACACTAAATTCTAGTCTGGGGCTGACAAGGGCTTTCCTGAGGGAAGTGGGTGAGAGAAGGAATCCATGATAGTAAAAACATCATTTAATCCCACAGGCATTCATGCATTAGGATATCTAAAGTAATGAGCTTCAAAATCAATAATCTCAGAGTGGCAGGACTTTAGGTGATTTTAATTTCTTCTACTTTTCTGTATCATCTGAACTTTTTTCCCAGACAGCATGAATTTTTTAAATAGAAAAAAAATTTTCACTGTTATTTAACATTTTTTAAATAAAAAAAAATTGAAAGAATAAATTCTCTAAAGAACTGACTAAGGAATAGGTAATGAAATTCTCAACAATAATCAGTAAGTAATCTTTGTATGATACTTTAAAGTTTAAATACTATACACACATTACCTTGTTATTATGTTTTACAGGGAATTAACAAATCATCACATGAAGAATTAATCCATTTTCCAAGGGTTTTCTGAATGTAAAAACTAATGTGAAAAACTGAAAATTTATTTAAAATGTCAAAACAGTTAACAGGATTTGCAAAATTAGGTTTTATGACTTTAATAGTTTGACTGAAAATATATCACTTGAAATGAGAAAATAAATACAAGAACTTTAACATACAACTTTTCCCCCCTTTTTTCCCACTGAAGTATAGTTGACACACAATGTTACATTAGCTTCAGGCATACTACATAGTGAATCACCAACTCTATACATTATGCTATGTCACCATACAACACTATAACGATGCTTTAACTATATTCCCTATGCTGTACCTTGAGTCCCATGATTTATTCCGAAACTAAGGAAGTCTATACCTCCTATTCCCCTTCACCACTTAACACAGAACCCTTTCTTTTAACATATAACTCTTAAAGCATAAAAATAAGAAGAGATTATGGGGCGTCTGGGTGGCTTAGTCGGTTAAGCGTCTGACTTTCGCTTAGGTCATGATCTCGCGGTTCGTGGGTTCAAGCCCCGCGTCGGGCTCTGTGCTGACTGCCAGCTCGGAGCCTGGAGCCTGTTTCAGTCTGTGACTCTCTCTCTCTGACCCTCCCCTGCTCATGCTCTCTCTCTATCCTAGAAATAAATAAAAAAAATATTAAAAAAAAAAAAAATAAGAAGAGATTACTTACTGCCATTGTTTGCCTTGTCAATTTAACCAACACGGTAACTAGGGATCCTACTGTGATGTTGTTGCTATCTTCATCATCCAATACTAGAAGATGAAAGTAAAAAATAAAATTCAATTTGGTACTTCAATATCTCATAGACACATTTTAAACTTACAATATGACTGTCTACTCTGTATAAAATGCTCCACTAGATGCCTTCAACAATGTAATCATTTAATCTTTAAAAGAGCCCTATGAAGGGGCAGCTGGGTGGCTCAATCAGTTGAGTGTCAGGCTCTTGATTTCAGCTCTGGTCATGGTCCCAGGATTATGGGATCAAGTCCTATGTCAGTCTTGACTGTGGAGCCTGCTTAAGACTGTCTCTCTCTCTCTCTCTCTCTCTTCCTCTGCCTCTCTCCCCTGCTCACACTCGCTCGCTGTAAAATAAAATTTTAAAAATTAAAGTTAAAATTAAAAAATAAAATAGCCCTATGAAGCATTATTATTATTTCCATTTTAAAGAAGAAACTGAGGGGGCACCTGGGTGGCTCAGTCAGTTGAGCATCCTACTCTTGATTTCAGCTCAGGTCATGATCCCAGGGTCATGGGATCAAGCCCTGAGAAGGGCTCTGTGCTGGAGCATGGACCCTGCTTATCTCTCTCTCTCTCTCTCTCTCTCTCTCTCTCTCCTTCTCTCTGCCCCTCACTCCAACTCGCACTCTCTCTCTAAAATAAAAAAAAAAAGAATTTAAAAAAATAAAGAAGAAACTGAGATTCAAAAGTAACATAAAATTAAAATGCCTGAGGTCACATAATGGCTATACTGGCGCTGCCAAATTTCAAACCGAGGTCTTTTAAAACAAAGTATAATCTGAGGATTCCTATACCACACCTTTCTTTCAAAGGGTTCTGTCACTCTGTTAAACTGTGCAAACCTTGTATTCACAAGATTTTAACTATATGATCAATGCCAGCCTGCCTGTCAGAAATAAAACAATTAGAAGCAGTATTCCAAGTCACATTAAATTCATTTTTTAAGGCAGGAACTTCCAAGATTTGTTTATATTAAAAAACACCTTTAAAGTTTTCATGTTTTTGCAATTGTTTAATTTTTTAAAACCACATTTGCTGGAAAAAAAACCCTACACTTGCCACCCATATTGCCAAAAGCTAATAAAATAAGCTTAATATTAAATAACATTAAAACAAATGTTAAAATTAATAAATAAAACTACTATACTTATCAAACAGATCTTATTCAAATGTGTATATTATTCATTTTTTCCTGCAAGTCTTATCCCTAAGACTTTTCTTCACTATGTATTTCTGACTAGAGATTTTTTTCTAAGCATGTTATGTTTATTTTACACAGATTTAGATTAGCATACTCTGTTGTGGCTTACACTAACACACTACCAGTTGGAAGAGAATGGCCTCCAACAAACTATAACAGTTATCTCCTCCATTGCTGGCTGTGAGGTGCAACAGCTGGGAATCAAGAAGGATACAATACGCTTTCTTCAAGCTGGAAGTCTCCATTATCATTCCAACATCACAGTTGGGCTGCACATTCTCACCACTGCACAGTTGTAAGTGCATGAACACTGCACAGGAAATAACAGCTGTAACAGTATGTACCTGCCATCTGATGCTTTAAGGTGGAGAAAAAGCCTACAGGAGATTCTATATAGCCTCTAGGCAATGTGGGTAAGAGATCCACCGTCTCCAGCACTAGATCATGCAGATGTCCCTTTCCTGCTTCTAAAATTCTTCTCCTCTCCCTCCATTAACTATATTACTCTTAATACACATTTGTATAGCCCTGTGCAAATATAGTAAATTGTCTATACAAGAGGCTATGGAATGAAATACAATCTGAAGTTTCCCAATGAGAATAAATATTTTTACCTTACTTCTAATAAGAAAATCTGACATTCATTTTTCTAAGCAGCATGTACTTTTTGTAACTCTTGATTATATCAGAGTATCTCTTAAGTACCAAATTAGATTTTACTTGAATACTTTCTTTTTTCTTTTTTTACTTGAATAGTTTGATTTAAATTGGTCCTAAATGAAACTTTTACTGTTTTTAAGTGTTTGAAAACTCAGACCCACAAGGAAATCCAAACTCCTCACCAAAACAGTCCTACATGTACCCTAGACTCCAGCCGATTTGAAACCAGACTGTAGTTTCATACTACTTTCTCAAACACCCCGGTCTTTGACAGTCATTTATCTCTTTTCAATTCCATTAGAATACAAACTCACTAAGGTAGAGGCGGTCTTACTCATCACTGCCTCCCCAACACCCAGAAAAATGAGTGGCACTTGTTGAATAATGACACAATGTCTATGTCATTCATTTCACACTTGCCTTATGATTCCTTGTTTTTAATCCTATATTTATATCCTATTTCCTCAACTAGACTATAAGCCCCTTACAGACAGAAACCACTCCTAACAAATCCTTGTATTCTTGGTCCCACAAAAATGTTCTTACAACAGTAACTGAGTAAATGTCAAAACTCAGAATAATGTCACAATGAAGGGATGAAGCAGATAATCTCTTAATTCTGTCACCATTGTAAAATACTATTATTTAATTATTATAATGGACACTCACTGGCCACTGTGTAGGTAGAAAAATAATCTCTAGATTTTCATCCTAACAGACACAAACATAGAGACAGGTTGAGAAAAACACGTGAAATGTGGCGCAGAACACAGTAATTTCCAAGGCTGTTTAACATAATTGGGCTTCTTAAAATGAATTTTAGAACTAAGCAGCTATTTCTTTCACACTAACAATATATGTATTTCAAAGGTCTTTCATTGCATCTGAAAATCTCTTTCTTTCTTTAAAAAGATATTCCTAAAACTTGAACTACAGAACAGAGTCCTCAAGCTTAATCCCATTTTGAGGATCATAAAAATATGATTCTATGGGATTATATCAGTGTTCTCAAAAACTATTAAGCATACGTCATATTCCATTACAGCAAATGTGACACATAAACCATAGTTATGGAAAGTCTAATTACACATTATGATATCAAATGTTTTCAGAACCTTAACCCAAATAAACAGGAACCAATCTATCAAAAGGGAAACAATGTTCAACAGTGAAACCTCACACTTACCCTGTGATTTTATGTCCATAGTCACATATGGGAAACTCCCAAGGACAGCCATAACCTCTTCATATTTTTCATCTTCAAGGAAGTGCAGTAGACTATGACGATCTGATTCTTTTAAACTCACCAAATCCTGGATAGTCTTAATTTTGTACTGAATTTTAAAAGAGAGAAGGGAAAAGAAAATAAATCCCAAAGTCATAGAATTTTTCACAAAAGGAAAATTAGCATGTTTACTAAAACCAAATCCAACAACTTTTAAAAAAATGTTAAGATTACACAGGGTCCTCAACTTACAATGGTTCTACTTAAAACTTTTCAACTTTACAATACTGCCAAAGCAATATGCACTCAGCAGAAACCATACTCTTGAGTTTTGATCTTTTCCAGGACTAGTGATATTTACTACAGTATCATCAGGATGCTGGGCAGCAGCAGTGAGCAGTAGCTCCCAGTCAGCACGTGATCACAAGAGTAAATAATCCATACACTTACAACCATTCTGTACCCATACAACTTTCAGTACCGTATTCCATAAATTACATGAGACAGATATTCAACATTTTACTATAAAACAGGCTTTGTGTTAGAGGATTTTGCCCAACTGTAGGTTAATGTAAGTGTTCTGAGCATATTTAAGGTAGGCTAGGCTAAGCTATGGTATTTGGTAGGTTAGGTGTATTCAATGCATTTTTGACTTAGGATATTTTCAACTTACAATCGATGGCTTTATGAGGATGTAACCCCACTGAAAGCTGAGGAAGATCTGTATACACATTTCAAAGCAAAAAATACAACTTTATAGCATTTCATGGCCTTTTATCCAAGGAAATTGAAATTAAGAATTTTTTTATTATAAAGTTAAAACAGAGTAATTTTTTAATTTTAGGAAAAATAAAGTTAGGAGAAAAAAACAGTAACATTCATAGACTCTTGACCCAAGCAAGAATGACTGTCATCTTCTATGCTCAGTTTGCTGATCCATATTTTCAATTTTAATGATAAAAAACCTTTAAGAGTATGAATTTATCTCCAAGTACAGTGCATCCTTATGGTTTGACTATGCAATTTTCTCATTTTTGTTTTTCTCTAAATATACCTTATGGCACTAATAACCATCTAGGCTAAAGGAATACTTAGGAGAGTGCTAATTTCCAGGCATTTGGTACTAGTTAATTTTTACTTTCACAGACAGGGATTAGACCATGAGGTGTGTGCAATGCCCACTTTTCTATTACAAAATTTTCTATTAAAAATGTGAACAAATTTATAAGTGTAATACAATTACCTGAAAGGAGAACTCAAATGCAAATTTCTAATATACATTTATTAGTTCTACCTTAATATTCTATCAAATCCAATGTCTATCTTCTGCCTATTTTGTCTAGTGTATATAATGTTTAAAATCTCCTATCAGAATTATAATTTTTTTCCTGTATTTCCAAGTTTTTTCATTTATACATATTTTTGCTACATCTTAAGATTCACTATTGATCTTTACTACAGATTGCATTTTCTAAATAAGAAGCCTCTTTATTTCATCTACTTATTTTTTGAAAGCTTAATTTTTTTGTTCCTATTCAACCAATAAACCATCACCCAACCTCTAAGCCAGGCATTAAATGACTGGAAAGCATACACTGCACTTCTACTTTGTATATTTATTTCTGATAACATAAGGAATAAAGTGCTAACTGCTAAAATGTACTGAACCCCAAAGTACATTACAAAACTTACAATAGGTAAAAGATTGTAAAACATCCACCTAATCAAGAAATTGCTAACAGAACCACTTCAGGGATAGTTTTAGAGTGTTTAGGACATTCTAAATCTAAGAAATTCATAGTAAAAACTTCTAGAACACTTTTTGTGTTACTTTTAAGTAACATGACACACTGCTTAAAACTGATTTTAAAGTGGCAGAGAATTACCTTTTTATGATTTGAAACCCTTCTAAGATTGTCCTCTTCAATGTGAGGCAGCTGCAGAAGGGGAGACTTAAACTGCTGAAGGCCCTGCACAGCCATCTGGGAAAGCTTCATGCAGTTTTCTAGGGATGCCAAAGTTGGAGCACGAAACTCCCTTTCTTAGAAAGAACAGGAGGAAAAGAAAAAACAAGGCTGGAGTTTTTATACGTTCAGGAGTATACAAGTCATCACAATAACAAGATTCATGTGACTATCCTCAACACCTCGTATTTTAAGATCATAGTGTTGACTTTCCTTTAAAAATTTTAAGGTACCAAAAATACACAAATCTGTTCAAATGCAACAATCATTATCCAGCCAGAAGCACTGGTTTAACAGAAAAATTCTTTCTATCACCTCCAAAAACAGCAAATTACCAGTATCAAATATAGACACCATGCCAAGAACTGACATCAGCCATTCAGCCATAACAACAAACCACATTGTCTCCTTTCTTAAGGGTCTCCCTTTCCATTACTGACCACAAACTCCCTCATTCTTTTTCTTCTCCCTCACTCTTCTTTCCCTTCATGTGAAAAATACTACGTGTCAGATAAATCATTGTTACGTCACTTAAAGAATTATTTCAAACTCACTGTTAAAATACAGAATAACCTAACTCTAAAAATATTCAAAGGAAAGAAGAGGTATATTAAATATGTGCAAACAATAAGTGACAACAAACAATAAAACCATAAATTAAATTCAAAAACATGAGTTGTGATAAAGACTTTACATAATGGAAAACATAGGAAAGAATTAAGAAAAACCACAAACAAAAGTGGGAAAGCTGACTCAACCTATGGGCAGAATTACTGTAGGTACTCAAAATCTTAAAATTATGAAGTATAATCTACATATACTTGCAAGATAAAGTACAACATAATTAATTACATTTCCACCTCACCTTCACGGCTCCGGGCCATTATTATTAGTTGGCAGATTACATTAACCATTTCTTGAAGTAGAGAAGGGCATTTTTTCAGCATAAATTGCTGATCTGCAAAACAAAAGAAAACCTGAAATGAATCATTCTACTTTTACAGTTATCACATCTTTATCATCTATAGTCCAAGACTAATACTAAGTCTAAGTTATCTCACAAATATTTCACATGACCTAAGAATTTTGCAAGTTAAACACAAAAGTTTCTCCTTAGCAACACTGCCAAAAATCAGTCAGCAAGTTCTAGCTCAGATTTGATGTTTCAAAGGCAAATTTTTAATATTATGGTGTTGTGCTTTGTAAGTTAACTCCCTTTTTTGGAGGGAACAGTCTTAAGCTTAATTTTAATCTTACTATATTCAAGAAGCTTAAAAATTTTCTCCTTGTACACCTAAGTTTCTATAACGATGAGTAAGTCCAAAGACTAAGATTGAGAATGAATGTCAATTCCATGCAGAAAGAGGAGGGGGAGGATGAACAGGAGGAAGAAAAGGAACGAGACAGACTCATTTTTACTGCACCTAATAATAGTTAACTATTAAGATCATCCAATGGGGTTGGTACTCAACCTAAAAAAAAAATCTGTTCCCGATTTCTTAGATAATTGGCAAAAAGGGAGATAGTTTTGTATCCGTACAGAACATCAGGAACATGAGAACTGCCAGTTAACTTGCAACTCTAATAACAATGCCTAAATAGGGATCTTTCATTCCATCTTAAGTATCCTATCTTATCACCAATCACTGATCATCAACTGGACTTGTTTGCAGAGGCATTTGATTATATTATTAGCTTAAAAAGGACAGAGGACTAGCTTCATTCAGAAAGAACATTTATTCCCTAAGGATAATAACTTTCTTTTTAAACTTCAAATAAAACAATACAAGAAAAAAAATGACAAATTCATGATATTCCTGGAAACACCACTGTCCCAATCCACTGCTTCTCTTTTATCTATCTACCTACTACTTACTTATCCATCTATCTTTGTTTGTTCATTTCCTTTTTTTTTATTTTATTTTTTTAACGTTTATTTATTTTTGAGACAGAGAGAGACAGAGTATGAGCAGGGGAGGATCAGAGAGAGAGGGAGACACAGAATCCAAAGCAGGCTCTACACTCTGAGCTGTCAGCACAGAGCTTGACCCAGGGCTCGAACTCACAAACTGCAAGATCATGCATGACCTGGGCCAAAGTTGGATGCTTAACCAACTGAGCCACTCAGGTGCCCCACTGCTTCTCTTTTAAATAGAGAAGTGACTTCAAATACTTAGGAAGCTTTAAACAAAGATTAAACACTTTATCAGCAACCACAGCTAGAAGTGGTGGTGGTAGTTGTGGAGCTGACTGAGATAGTTATTGTGAAATCCATTTTTAATTCCCCCCAAAAGCTTACAAAGTCTTTTTTAAAAAGTCATTAGGAATTATTGTATAATCTGAAAATAACTAAACATTTTTCAGAGTATTGTCTCACCTTGAAATACCAAATTTTAACATTTGCCAAAACATCCGACTTACTTAGACCTTCAAAATATTTGTGAAGTAATTATGTAGCATAAAGATTTCTTTTTAAAAGGTCCTTGAGCAATTATTTGATTGAGCAAAAAAGAATAGCAACAAAAACATTGCACCATGAGGTCTAATTAAATCCACTGCTTTTGTACCATCAAAACCCTGCAGATATTAGAATCATAAATACCTTCTTCAAGGGTTTCAGGAATTTTCATTCTAGCAAGATGAGACAGTAAAAGAACTCTGGCTTTCAGGCTATATGGGCAGGTAAGTGGAGGCTCATTCTTCTTTAAATTAATGCTGCCAATTTCTCTGATTAGCTACAGTAAATAAAATAATTGTTAAAAAATATATAAATACTTAAAAGCATTAACTTTAATACCTAAATGCTTATATCAAGGAATTTAGGAGACAGGTCTAACCTGAGGTATTAGAATATTATCTGTTGGTCTGCTTGTGGCATCTTTATTATACTGAGGATCAAATTCAGAAGCTCCAGCCAAAACCATGATAAGACCTAAGAAAACAAAAGAAAAATAAAGGTATAAATTCGCTCATCTATTAATTTCCTCTCCTAGGAAACTTTATTATTGTAAAGTGAGGCAGTTTTCCAATTGTGCACAAAGCCAAAAATCATCTGAACTTCACTACTAGGTATTCATTCCTCCAATAAAAAGGAAACATTTCACTTTTTTAAATGTGTATAGTTTTACCTATCACAAGTGAATAGAAACATACATCAAATTAAGGGCCCCAGAACTGAACACATTAAAATTACTTCAAATAGCATCTGTTTCTAGACTTAAGCATGTGTTCCACAGAAACTCTTTTTTTTTTAACTATCTTATTGACTGTTCTTTTTATTTTATTATTTTTTAATTGAAGTATAATTAACACATGGTGTTATAGTAGTTTCAGGTGTACAACATAATGATTCAACAATTCTATACATTACCCAGTGCTCACCATGATAAGTGTAGTCACCATCTGTCACCAAACAATGCAATTATAATCTTAATGACTATATTCCCTATGCTGTACTTTTCATTTCCATGACTTATTTATTTTATAATCAGAAGTTTGTACTTCTTAATGCTCTTTATCTATCTCACCTATCTCCCTTCTCCTCTGGCAACCACCAGTTTGTTCTTTGCATTTAAGAATCTATTTGTTTTTTTGTCTTTTTCTGCTTGTTGATTTGTTTCTTAAATTCCATATGCGTGAAATCATATGGTATTTGTCTTTCTTTTTTTTTTCTTTTTTTCTTTTTTTTATTTTTTCTTTTTTTATTATTTTTTTAATTTAAGTATTCTTTTATTACAGGTGATCTCTAACATCTATTTTCTTTTTTTTTAATTTTTATTAATTTTTTTTTTTTACAAAGTTTATTGTCAAATTAGTTTCTACATAACACTCAGTGCTCATCCCCACAAGTGTCCTCCTCC